TTATGTCTGAAAAAACGGCCCACATTTCGTTTTCCCTCATCACCAGATGAAAAGAACTTTTGACCAAGTTTTGTCTAGCGGCTTTTTATGCTTGAAAACCGTCAGAATTTAATCAGGGAACCTCCGCATGGTTTGGCTGCTGAGTTAATCTTTAACCGACCAATCAGGCAAAATAAGCTGTCAAACTTTTCAGTTTACCTCATATCAAGGCAATATTTGGGCGTCAAGTACCGTTGTCAGATATAGGCAACAAGAACATTGTTCAGGTCTAAAATCCATCAAATATATTTTCCGCGCACTATGAGTTTAAACGCGTCACGTGACAGAACATACCCTGCTGATCCGGGGTATATCTTTAAAGTTATCCGTTAATTTCTTGCACGATTTTATCGGCTGCTTTGCGTCACGTGGTGCGAGATCAACCTCTCTTGGCCCCTTGCCAAAGGCCAGGTATTTCCTAATTTTCAAATCTTGCTTGCAATGAGACGAAAGTCTGCCACCTAAGTTGGTTCAAGTGGCGAGAATTCTCCTTTTGACATAGAAGGATACAAAATTTGTTTGTTCGTCAGACGCCCCAGTAAGTCAACATCCGTTTACGGGCAGATTATGTCTGCGAACAAATATCCGCATATTTTCAAAACAAACAGAGACTATTATTTTTGCAAAACAAAACAGAGAACAGGGTTCAGTTTAAAATGAAAAATTCTTAGAGACAGATCTATCTAACCTCAATTTGGAAACATTATTACCTTTATTATCCGTTCTCCTATAAATCAATAAAATTAAATACTGATTACTTAAATCTTCCAAGTATTTGACACCTACATTGAATCGTAAGCCGTCAAAATCGCATGATTAAAACCTGCGAATATAAAATACAGCCTCCAAAGGATGCTCTACTTTGTCGCCTGATATTTTTCTGCGGCAAACTTTCGGCGATCCCAGGGAAGGGGAGGTAGTTTATGATGGAATGATAGATCGAGGGAGGGGGGGCGGCGAGGGGTACGGTGGGAGTCTTTCATTCTTGCGAAAGGACCAGTCTTTAAGCCGTGGCTTTATTTGCGGTTTTTTGTTGTTGTTGTGTTTTTTTTTTTTTTTCATGTCAGGGAGGGGCATTATGCCCTGCTCAGGGCCTTCAGTTATGAAAACGAGGTGCTGTAGTAAATACTGCGACAGTAGATGAGGAATGAAAAAATCGAGGGAGATTTTGGGTCCAGTTGCGTAATGAAATTTTCGCTAACCGGACCTGACCCCAATCGCGCTGTTTATTATTTGCCAACGTTTTACGAACTGAACGCCTAAAACAGGGTTCACTGCCCCTCCCTGACATGCCACCATAAGCACCATTATTTATCACGAGAATGTTCTTTTATATTTATTGAAAAAAAAAATCATTGCCCCGTCCCATTCCGTCATTCCATTATAATCTACTTACCTTTTCCTAATCTGATAAAAAAAAAAAAAAAAAAAAAAAACACCAACGACGACAGTCAACGAACAGATATTTTTTTTTCATTATTTATCTAAATTAGCGCAAAAAGGAAAACTTTGTCAAGGAGAGCTGGGATCGCGATCGAAGTTTGCCAGTCGCATAGCTTATAAGAAGCTTGATTTTCTTGAGTGTTGGATTACCTCTACTTGAACGGAAAATAAATCCCAGGCTGGGCTGCGGAGGTCTGGGTACCAGTCTATTTGACGAGCTTACTGCCACGACTGTTTTAACTCGTGTAAACGAGTTTTTATGGGGACATCCACTAATAAGATGTAGACACTGAGGTAATAAGTCGTCGCGAACACACCCTAACACGAAACCAAATTGGAGAAGTAACTGCGCATAAAACGATAGGGAGACTTTGTTATAGTTCATATTAGGCATTGTTGCTTTAAATATCACCTTCCAAGTGAACAAAAATTTTCGAGTTTAGGCATGAACTTAAAACTGTGAATCGCATTGATTGTTTATTATCTGACACAACACATGATTAAATTCAATTATCTTATGCAAACATTGGCGGCTGGATCGATCAGAAGCGGACGAAAATAATCCTGTGCTTTTCTAATGAGTGGAAACTTGTAGAATTCATTACCACATATCTTTCATTTCAATCAAAATGCGTTCTGAGGTATTTTCGTGCCGAGGCCGGCAGAAAGCTTAAAGGTTTTTTATCAGATGCAAGCGGGAGAAAACCCTGTAAACAAAGATCATTACCTTACAATGCAGATATTTATGGAACAGCTGTGAGCCGAAACGTGACATAGGAATGGAAAACTGGAAAGGAGTTGATGGGTACTATAATTGTGGATCTCTCCGATCTGAGTAACTTTGCATTGCTGCAATACCAATAATTACAAGTTCACAACCATGTTTCATCTCTAGATTAGGTACTTTCTGTACGAGTTGGCCATAGGTATTCTTTGATTGGAAGATATGATGGCGTCTGTTTAACGACATTTAACTGTTGGGTTTAGCGGTTAGAAAATTAAGTGAGCTTTTATTTATTTGTAGCCTTTGTTTGCAGTTTGTTGGAAAGTTACCGACAAAAAACCACAAGTACAGGTAGCTTATGCAGGAATTAGTCCACTTCCATTTCCACTCCACCCCGTCCCCCACCCCCCTCTCTACTCTGTGTTTTTTTCCTCTCAGCCAATCAAGAGAACAGAGAAAGTGCAAACTATTGTCAAGTAGCATCATTTCAAAAACGCCTGTCAAATATCTGTTTTTACATAAAACTGACGTCCATGTTTTTGCATATTGATCAGCCCCACTCCCAATCCGAAAAAAGTCCGACGACTTCTGAGCGTCATCAAGACTGTTTTACTGATACCGAATATTAACGAAGATACTTGATGATGTTCTTGTGCTTTGTAAGCACTAGATAAGTAGTCCAGAACTGTGAATCATGAGTGAAAAATCGTCTTTTTGATCCACAGTTATGTGCTATACGCCTAACACTTCCGGGTTCGCAGGCACCCCCTTGCTGTAGAGTCCCTGCAAATGATTATGCTTGACCTGTTCCAAACTCCCAGTCGGCGGCAACGAGAGCAAATTGCACGCAAATGACACTCGTGAGCTGTCAGAGCAAACCTCAGGGGAGTGATACTCTTAACACTACCACCATTACTCAACACAGCGGTCAAACGTAAGGCATGCGCAAATGGCTTTTAAATTTTGGCCTCCTGCTCAGATTTCCCGCGCAAAATTTTAAAGTAGACAGTGGCCGCAGTGGATTTTCTGATACGTGCACGCGATGCATCATGCTTCACTACGATCCTTAAGAATAGAAGTAACGGTAAATTTCTTACTTGAGCTATCGAGCCAGTTAGCCACTATTTTCATGCCTTTATAGGGTTACTCTTCGTTCTCCGAATAAAGATAAACAAAGTTAATAATTTCATAGCGTAATTGCCTAATTCAATTCATACTGTAAATCACAACCCTGCGAACAAAATTACCGCTACAAAAACATAAAAAATCGCGAAGTTAACGTGAACTTAAACACATTCATCGTCATCTCATTTCAAGTTTAAGTTCACGTCATTGAAGTTTTACATTCATCTTCTGAAAGTAGGGGGGCGAACTCAGATCAGTCATTATTAATCTCCTGAAAGGGGGGCGGGGGAAGCAGGAATTTGGAGAAGTCACATAGTTTTCTGGGAGAATGAATGGGGCATCAGTCGTCGCCAACTGAGTATAGAGTAGGGTTTACAGAAAATTGACTGCCAATTATTTTCAAATGAAGGGTGATCACAAGAATTTTACAGAGTCTTATAGGGGTAGGGTAAGTTTTGTCGTGACACAATCAAAAATCCTTGGACTTCCTCAGGCGCTCTATAATGACCAATCCATAGATTAGGATCGTACCCTTCTACCTCGTTACTAAGTATATAACACGTGAAAGGCCTTTCTTGCAGTTTTTGTTCGTAACAGAAAAAGATTTGACATTTATCGACCCATAGGAAATTTTCGTGTTCTTTTTTTCCGGAACCATAGCTGTCATAGAATTGGAAAGTATTGAGTTTGCAAAATGACTTCCCACAAACAAAAAGGCCCTTGACATCACGGGTATATCAGAGCTATGAAATAGCTTTCATGAATATAAGATTTCGTTGTTCAACACAATGAATGCTTCGTAAACGCAAATGTAGGATTATTCAGAGAGGGGTTTCAAACGAATCCTAGGATTATGAAATATAGCTTTTCTATTCCAAAAATTAAACACAGACAGAGGTTATCTAATGAATAATGTACAGAAAAGCCTTTTGTGGACAAAGAAAAGAATTAGACATTAAACTATTCTACTGTTTGTAATTGGCGCTTGGAAAAAATAGTTTTTTTTTGACGATACTTTCGCCGCTTACAACTCTACATGGAAGCAGGTGGTTTTCCGGATGATTGCTTTAACATACGTGGGCCTAATACTTTTTTCGATCTTCTAACAAATAAACGGGATTATCTTTCGAATGCACTGCCTCTAAGTCAAATGATACTGATGTTAATTCTCAGGGAATCAGTCCCGGCTTTGATCGTATTAGAAATGATTCTGCAACTGTTACTTCGCGTTAATAAATTTACCCCAGGACGAAGTTAGAAGCCCCGAAAAAGCCGAAAACAGCTTCATGAAAGGCGCAATGTTGATCGACAAACAACAATCACTGCCGAGTGTCAGTTCAAGTAATCTGTCGAGATTAATATTCAACGGAAGGGATATAGATTTTAGGAAGCCGGAGGTGAGTAAATTGAATTTTTGATTCTTGGTAACCTTTTTTTTCATGATTTGGTTTTATCCATTGGTTGTCACATTAATTTCGACAGTTGGACACCCAAAGTGCATCTCCTAAATTGTTCAAGCGGCCTTGCACCTGCTCGAACCGTGGTGACAATCACGAAAAGGCCTCTATTAGATTCCACTGGCCTTGTTTGTTTTCCTGAATATATATTTTCAACTTAATTTAATAATAACAAGACTGATCATTTTCTCAGTACACTTGCGAGAGCAACGATGAATAACACCTCTGTTACTTTAACGACATGTTTTTTCCTCGACACTACTTCTGAGCCCTCGGAGCATTTCGATTCCTTAAGTCTTGCCTGCCTTGTTCTCCATTCTGTTTCATTTCTGCCCGCGGCGCTTGGTAATGGCATTGTGGCGCTGACAACATTAAAAACACCTTCGCTTCACAAGCCCTCTTTTGTGCTGCTGAGTTGCGCAGCCATGGCAGATTCACTCACTGGATTTCTCGCTCAACCGGTAGCAATGGCGTCGTTCGCTGCTAAATTGCGAAGAAAATTAATAACTGCTTGTCAGTTGGACGTCGTGAAGGAAATCATGGGTTGGTTGTTTAGCGGAGTATCCGTTAGCATTTTAGCTTTGCTGAGCGTTGAACGCTATCTCGTGCTTCACTTAGGAACGCGCTACCGTTCAGTTGTCACAGTGAAACGTGTTCTCCTGGCTGTCACTGTTTTCTGGTTGTCGCTGGTAATATTGGAAATTCTTCGCTTCCTTGTTTTGAATAACAAGACATTTACAGCCATCCATGTTCCATTCATGTTTCTAAGCCTCATGACTCTCACAGCGACTTACTTTCAAATCCATCATTATATAAAGAGACAGAGTCTAAAACTGACTCCGGCAAATAATCGACACGTACACAGCTTTGACATTGCCAAATACAAGAAAATCACTGTGGCTGTTCTGTACATTGTTTGTTTTTACTGGTTGTTTTTTGCACCATTCGTGTGCGTTCTTGTGGCTTATCTCATTCTTGGTTTCTCGGAAACCGTTGAAGGAGCTTATTACATCACCACAACTGTTATTCTGGCGAATGCGGCCGTAAACCCATTTTTGTATTGCTGGAAGCTACGAGCTCTTCGGAAAGCAGTGTTGATAAATTTGAAGTTGATACTTCACCTGGACTAGAGTGGAAAAAAGAAAAACGGAATTGTCTTTTTCTTTTTCTGGAAATATATAATTCATCTTCATTGGAATTAACAGGATCTTTTTAAATTTCGTCTGCGGTTAAAGTCCAAAACTTTAATTACTTTTCATTACGCTGTCAAAGTCAATTGTATTAATGTAGGTGTCAGCTTGAGCGTGCTTTACATTCTGCGCATATTTAAGCCTGCACTTACACTAGATTGTTTTCCTATAAGTACGGTTACAAATATAATCGCATCCCCTCGATGGGAAATTTCAATGGGGTCATGTGTTGAAGGTACCGTGGGAAACCGACCAAAGTTAAATAAACTACGCTCTGTAATTGGTCAAGGAAATCCCTCTCTCTCAACCAATTAGATACAAACAGAACTAACCACGACCTAGTTGTCTGCGTTTTCCCTCGTTTTGGGTTGCCCAAGTGTGATCACTTTGAGTTCTCATTGCTTTCTTGAATTGTTAAACGGAGTCCTGCTTGGCTGTGGCAATTTGGGTTAGGTTTACGACGCTTTTTCGAGAGGCTCTCTAAACAACGATGCTTTTCGATCAATAAAGAGGACATTTTGTGACTTTGTTGGAAACTGCACGATACGTTAATTGTTCTTAACTTGATTGACATTTATAAGTGATTTCGTTTATCTATACATAACCAAACAAACATGTATGCGGCACGTGTTTTATCGCCCCATATATGGCACTGTTCCACGTGCTTACCACGGGACGTTTTGTGTGTACCTCTTTCGAATAAGCCGAGAGTTGTGAGCGGAGTTAACCGAAGCGTTGTAGTTAAAATCGCTAAATCGTTAAAGTGAATAAACCGTGACTTAATAATGAAGCGTGGTACAGCTTTTTCATGTTTTCGACAACTTGCCGCATCCCATTTTACCGCATGGTACGAATTTTTGTTTTATTTTGAGGTTTAGATACGGACCTAAACTTCACTTACTCACCTACTCAATTCTGATTTGCTCGTGACGTTTGGTTATTAGTCTACAATCCAGACACAACTGTGAGTAATATACCAATGTACTGCCGAGAAGTTTATGCCTGGCTGGAAAATCATTGGTATAGTTGTCAAAGAAGCGTGTTTGGGAGCTAATACAATTCCAAAAGCTAATAAAATGATGCAATTCTTTTGACCATATTTGTACGCCGCATTTAATATAGCTGATTCACAGAGCTGACTGGAAATTGCATCCAAATGGGGAAAACTGATTCTAGCGAAGATTTCCAATCAAAGTGCATTATGAAACCTCTACATGTCAATTCAATATTTAACTGAGAGTGGTTCGTATTAGAATTTACTGAAGTTAATTCTCACTACCGTGAAATATTCGAGTGAATTATTGCCGAAAATGCATCAGAAACTGTCTGTTGCCAAATCAGAAGTGCACCTCGGATGGGTGCGGTCTCTCTTGCCTCACCTTCATAAGCAATCTTGTTGCGAAAAATAAACACGCCCCAAAAAAGATGGACGATGAGGTAGACTTCGCGTGTAAAAATAGAAAAAAGCTTCCTGTCTACTGAACAATGGTTTGAGTTAAAGGATGATCACACAGGAATGCATTGCAAAAAAGAACTCGGAGTGCCGCCAATAGAGGTCGAATCTAAGACCTTTCGATGAGTAGTTAGGATGCTCTACCTCTGAGACAAAAGGAGACTCGTGGCAGCCTGGGGCTGTTTAACTGGGTTCATAGTGACAAACTTCCTGCACGTGATGCTTCTGCGCTATGATGATAGAAATAATAGAGATGGCAATTTTTTGTTTAAATCATTTTATTAGGCTATCAAGGGACGAGAACCACACGCTATACAATACAAAAATTGATTTACAAAGTTTAGAAATTCAAAGAGAAGACTCGTGCAAAAAATATTTTGGGGATGAAACATTTTCAAATTACCTATTAGATAGAAAATGTCTTAATTATGTAAAGTTAACAATATTGTTCAGTTTATCATACGCCTCCACGCATCTCACCAATATTATATAAAAAGCGACCACTGATCTAGGAATTTCATCTCACCGAGCCCCCAAAATTCTTGGTGCGAAAGTAAAGAAAACTTTACTCTCGAACACAACTTAAACACTTGTTTGAACAACTTGATTCCATTGAATGAACCCAAGGGGCGGAAAAAGATCTCCCCGAGCGGACAAAATTATCAATACTTAGACTGCTTTCTATTAAAAAAGTTTCTTGCAAACTAAATAACCGTGTCTAAATTAAATAATTTTGCGCATTTATATGCCTACAATTTTTTTTATTATCTCGAAAGTTTAGTGGGCGTGTGGTCACCGTAATCCCTTGTGTTCAACTCAATGTTTTACAACGCAACAGTATTTACCTTACACTCACATATCTTTTTTGTAAATTAAAAAAGAAATTATTGAATTTCAATTGCGCTAGGAAACAAGAATAATTAGGACTTTGGGTTTGTTTTTAAGTCTATTTCAACGCCAACGAGGTAGCCATGAGACAAGCAAAAACTGTCAGCACCATTTTGGGTTTCACTTCAACCAGATCGTCGGGAAGGGCGTAGGTCGTGGCACCAATCTTTCGGGCGACGCTCAAAGCGTATTTGGCATTCTCCTGTTTCTCCTGAGACACATGACAGAAAGGGAAAACATTCAAATTTCACCATCTTGTAGAATATTCACCAGAAAAGGTGGCACTGAATACTCCCACAAGGACCCAACTACCCATTAACTCGCGTTTAGCTTAAACAATTTCTCACGGAGCATGTTTTGAATGTTTCAAGTAATTACCCACCTCGACAGTTCCTCCTGCAGATACCATGTCATATTCCACCATTCCAGGTTTGATGGCGTCAACAAGATCCAGAACTGGCAGGCTGGTGCTGATGTTGGGATCCTGGAAGCTTGCGATGCTGCTTGTTTTGTTTGCTTCTTTTAACTAAACATAATTCACAGATCACAAGTAAATACCTCTTCAGTTCTAAGCAAGTTCGAGGTCCGTAGGATAAAGTACGGCCAGCTTATCCCTTTTTCCCTTCAAATTATGACCCGAGCTAACTTGCGACCAGGCCCTCATCACCAGGCCCTCACCATTGGTGTTTAGGCATGAGCGTTTCTTTGCCCGCGGGAAAGTATGAGCCCTCGAGCAACGTGAGCCAGCAAGAGATTTGCAAGAGATTTAGCACTGAGTACCAGGCCCTCGGGAAACCTCTTACAGACTTGTCTCAAATCTTCCGAGGGCGGAAAAAGGTGCGTCCTGCAGCGCTAACATGAAGACCCGAGCGCGAATAGTACGAAGACACGAATTATCATTATCATTATCTTTAATTTGTGATGGAATTTCTTTTCGTATGGAATAGCTTCAAATGATTGACGCACTTCCAAAGCACAACACACGGTCGAAGTGTTCCGTCTTTTTCACTTACTTTTTCGTTCACCCATTCAACAATGTCTTTATCCTCAATCTTTTTCCCGTCTTCTGTCAACTTTGAGAGCAAGGCAAGGGTGTACGCTCTCATCTGCTGCCACACAACGGCTATCAAAACAAGGCTTATCGTCAATTAATGCAAAACAAGACGAGTAACAGGACTAGGAAATTGACCAAGAATGGGTGGGTGAGTTGTGATTTCTTTGGCATCTACGAGGGGGAGTGGGTAGGTGGGTGGGGATGGTTTTTCGGCCTGATCGGACTTCCCGTGTAAAGTGAAGTAACAAAGTAACGTGATTTTTTTCTTCGATTTAAATGCAAAACACTTTTCTTCTTAATTAAGCAAATGGTCTGAATCCTGGGGTATCATTCGGTCGTGCTGTTTGATGGTCCGGGTGGGAGAAGTCCCGAAATTTACTGATGTCTGTAGCAATAACTGATGTTACGACAACTATATCGGAAGTCATCATCAGAGACAAGTGAACAGTTGTTTGTCCTTCTGTTTCTTCTGCTAAAGTTGTCGTGATCATGGCGGGAAGCGAGAGAAGTTTTTCTCGAGAATACTCTCATCGTGACCAGGATATACGATCATTTTTTCTTGGGGAACAACAACAATGGCCCTTGACATACCATCAAACATTGAAGAACTTTTTATAACAGAAACAAGAGTGAATAAAAATTGGTTGGCAAAGAGGACTTGATTCACAACGGGGAAAGTAATGTAATGTTTGAAAAGAAAAAAATCACCAGGCAGTGTGGGCAATGCAGGAGAAAAAATTAAACAAGTTGTTTTTTTTAAAGTCCCCCTGTCCAAAAACTGGGCTAAAATGCGAACTTTTTATCAGGAGGACTTATCTGGGAGATTTTTGCAACAGCTTAAGATAAAATCTATTTCAGCTCGCTTCCTATTTTAAGTGAAACACTGCTAGCCTACGTATGGCTTCAAAAAATAATGGTTATTTCTTGACTTAAATTTAGTCTTACCAAGAGTTAGGGTCTCGTTGCAGTCATGAATATCTTGACCCCCAATCCCAACCAGTGAAAACTTAAATGTCTTTCCAACTTCAACAGCATAGTTACAGTTTTCTAATTGCTTCATTTTACCACCCATCTGTTTGAATGGAGGACGGTTGACTTTGTCCCAATCGACACTGCCTGGCTTCACGATATCATACAGCTGGAAAAAGTGACAAAATGTAAACTGACTGCAGATCCACGCATAACACAGGGCAGTTTTCAGTTAATTGTCAAAAGTAATCTTGGATTGCTTTGGTATTTTTTACTTTGCTCTGTGATTGGTCCACACAACTTGTACCACCATCTCAACCAATCAGATGCCATACTGACTCAATCACAACTTGGTCACCTGCATTTTCCTGCACTTAAGGCAGTTGGTTTGTTTTTACTCTGAGTTTGAATTGGTTCTCAAGGTTATTTTTCTTTCTCTGAATAGCTGTTGGTATTACTTTGGTTTTGCTTTGACAACCCATAATTAAAAAGCACTATTATCCTAATTGCTCTTGTGCAGGTCATTAAGCGTAATGTTATCTTTTCAAAAGCAATGCTTGTGTAAAAAGCAAGTAGGATCACAAGTGCACCAGAATGGCAGCCAATGACAGAATGTTTCACTAAATTTAAGAGAAATACAAACTTCAAAACTAACCTGTAACAAAACTAATCCATTGCAAAGATCCCTGTAAAGATTGTTCACATAGGGATTTACACCAATGCTGTTCATCCAGTTACGGAAGGCTGTAAATAGATCATCACATTTAACCTCTTAACTCCCAAGATCTAATTGTTAATTCTCCTCTCAAGCTGCAACACATTCCCATGCTCATTAGCTGAGAGAACTTAGTGCTACATCAATATAATAACTGATACCTGATAAGTTTGAGTATTCTCTTTACCTGTGTGCTGGATAGTTCGTGTATATTGTAGGGAGAAGTGACATTTTAATCACCTCTAGAAGTTAAAGGGTTAATTAATAAGTTCATTTTTACATCAAATCACAATTATAATTAATTTCAAATGATTAAATAAATTTCATTATCCCACAGTGCACCCTGAAGATACAGGTGCATATGTGTATGTACACCTGTACATTGTACATCTATCAGCAGAAGGACACAAAAGCTCTCAAAAATGCCATAACACACTACAGACACTTAAAATAAATTTCACATACTTCTTTCTTCTCTTGTTTCCTCACGTAGTTCTTCAAGTTCCTCAGTCTCCTCAGCATCCATTGGAGGCAGGGCAGGGTAACGGTTGAACAAGTTTGCAACAAAGGCCATGTTCAACTTGGAGTTACCTGCTACAACATCCTAAGGGAATGACATGTTGATATGGGTCAGTATCTTTGACAGGGATTGCCATCTGACCCCAAAGCCACCCCTCCAAAGATTCAAATTTAGCTTTAAATTAAGCACTTTAAATTTAGGCTTTCAGTACACCTGCACACACATCTCCAACCCAATGCAGATGGTGACCAACATGTAAATGTACCTACAGTATCCAAGGGTCATTACCAGCTTTCAGATCACACCTTTACATCAGTATCAGTTTGAAATGAAATTAATAACTGAATAAATGACCTTGAATAATTTTCCTTACAGAACTCAGAGCTGTCAATAAGGGCCAACACCTAGCCAAACCTGTGCCTGGTCTGCCATCTTTCCCCATTTGAATTAAAGTAAATTAAACTTTCAATGTAATCAAACATCTTACCTTTGCTCGCACAAACTTTCGGCAGCCGATTCGATCCGCCATTTGCAGCATTTTTTCAGCTCTCTTGTTATGATCTTTTTCCTACAATTAAGTCAGAAAAAGCTTAATAAAATTTAAGCTTCACTAGCACTCTTTTATTGACAAGTAAACTCATTCTACATTTTATTTCTCAGTAAATAACTTACACTCATTGGTCTATTGTCAACAAAAACCTCGGAAGGAGTGATCTGTTTCAGTAAGACTGAGTAACATTCAGAGTCCTACAAAGCAAAGAAAGGAAGTTACAGAAGTAAGAGAAAGTCAAACACTCATTTATCTTCCAAATTGTGTTGAAAACATCAAAAATGGCTCTCATGTAAAGGTCAACACTTGCAATAAATGAGATCAATAAATTTCATATGGCATTACCTTGATGTCCTCACTAAAGTTTTTCACTCGTCTATGGTGGCCTGCTTTTTCCAAATGGTAGTTAAACCATCTTAACAAGATTTCTTCAGGCGAGAGAGCCATCAGGTCTTTCAGTGTCTCTCCCTCCCTCAGCAGACGGGCCAAGCCAGGTACATTTGTCAGTGTGATGTTTGCAAACAAACCAATCTAATTTTTCAAATCAATAAAGTCATTGTTATTGATAGATTCAAGAAGAAGGGACTTGCAACTTGGGCTGTAAGCTGAACTCATTGTATCAATATCAGAACAGATTCTCCTGTTAATAACCTTGCAGAGCACAATGAATTACCCCAAGCTTCAAGCTCAACTTTTTCAAAGCTGACATTTGGTGACCTTAAGTCATTTTATGAGTCAAAGTCCCCTTCATCCACAAATGTTACTTCTTGATACATGTTACAAAAAAGCATGTAAATTGTACAACAAAACTAGCCCAGGTGATAGTTTTAACCCTTTAACTTCCAGGTAATGATAATACTCAAACTTATCAGGTAGAGGTTGTGATCTTACACTAAATTCTCATGAATAATTTAATTTTACAAATGGGTAGCAGCTTAAGGGGAGAATTAACAATTGTATCTTGGGATTAAAGAGTTAAGAGATCAGCTCAAGAACATTATTACATTATTATTCCAGTAACAGGCGCTTAATAATGAAAAACAAGAATGCTTAGCTTTGCACAATAGAAATATAAATTACAGACACTACACAGCAAACCCACACACTTACTCTAATGATCTGCCACAGCAAACCCAGTACAAGATGAGGCTTTCCTTTCTCAAGATCTTCTGCTCCAATGTTAACAATGTTGCAACCAATGGATCGCGCAGAATTCAGAGCCAATGTCATATTTTCATGAATCTTAAAAATGGTCAATTTTCCTCCCTTTGGTTTGTTAATGGCACGTTCATCAACCGTGTCAGGTACGGACAAATTGATCATTTTACTGAAAATAAAAAGAGCTTTCATTGGAACAATGTTCAACTGAGTGTTTAGAGTACTCAACCAATTGACCCCAAAGAGTGACTGGAGTCTAATTCCTACTTACAATATCACCCCTAATCACACTAACACCTTCGAGGTCATCAGAGTGAGGGAACTGATAACCAACCAATAAAGCTGTGGATCATTTAAAAAATTATCCTTGTCAGAACCTCAGAAAGTATATGGTGAACAGGATGAAGAAGATGCATATTGATTTTAGGATTAAAGACTGCATTGGTTTCATTTTTCTTCAAGGTTTTATTAGTATAGAAGGTACCACCTTCTCCATGCATTTTATTTAAACCCTCATATAAAAAAAATTTCAACATGTTATGTTTTCTTCATTTTCTTTAAAACTCATTTTGGTACTAAATTGATATTTAGCTGGATTGTTGCTTACAATAATTACTCAGTAGCCCTAATAGAGATGGCTTGCTTTCATCATTTCTAAGATTACTGCTCACCGTTTTACACAAGAAAGAAACTAAGAGCTCCAACCAACAAATTAGCCTTTTAATGACTAAGTTCTTCCAATTCAAATCAACCAAAATTTCATCAAAAGATTATCACTTTAACCCTTAACTCCCAAGATTTCATGAGTAATTCTCCTTACTGTCTGCCATACAATTTATGTGATGATAGTTTGGAGAATATGGAATTGGATTGACCAATAATCCCCTAATTGATATCTTTCTTTATTCTCATTACTTGTCTGCTTGATATCATACTGATAATGTAAGGAGAAATTCTGTCTTGGTCACAAGTGGGACATAAAGGGTTAATAAATGATTGCTTCATTGTATTGATACCTTGTTCTTTAGTGGATCATACACTGGAGAGATTGAAAAAAAACCTGAATGACATAACTAGTCTCATTTCAGTAGTCATACCAGTTTGTAACACAACATTTTCCTCCCCTTATCAAGGAGAGCATCTTACAAGGTGAAGCAGCATGTCACAGGAGAGTTAATGTACTTAACAACATTACTCACCAAAGAATGATTCCATCATTGATCTTAACAAACAAGTCTTGGGTTGCAGGATCCATAGGCAAGTAAGCCTTTGCCTCTGCATCATCTTGCAGGGCAGTGTTGATCCAGTCGGCAAATGCTACCTTTTCAGCTTCTGCTAATGTATGCTTGGTGCCTTCGGCAGAACTTTCAGATGTCCCTCCTGAAATCTCTACTTTCTCTGTTTTCTTTATAAGTTTCTTGAATTCTGTGCCTGCTGAAAATTTCTTGCTGTTTTTCTTGTAAATCTGGGTGAAAAAATAGGTGGAATTTTTACACCCTTGCAGTACTATTACAAGTAAAAATTTCAAAGCAGAGGCCATGAAAATTTTTGGTTAACTATTTACACCATAACATTACACCATAACACATTTCCAAAGGTTCTGATAAGGAGAATTTGTCAAACAATCAAGGGCTTCTTTTCTAGTGGTCATTTCATTGATACTCATGACCTAAATGTTTGATTCAGGGCGATATTCTAAGGAGAAATTAGATGCTAATCACTCTTGGGGGTGGGGGTTTAAAGGGTGAAGTGGTTATTATTAACCATTTAACTCCCGTGAGTGACCAAGAAAGAATTTCTCCTTACTATATCTATACAATATCATTCAGACAAGTGATGAGAATAAAGTAAACTGTCAATTATGGGATTACTAATCGATCCAATATCAAATTCTCCAAACTAACATAATGATAATCATTTGGCAGACGGTAAGGAGAATTACTAATGTGATCTTGGGAATTAAACAGTCAAGTTAGTTACCCTACAATTCCCAAAAGTTGATCAGTAATCCTCCATTCTAACTGGGCACTCTTCAGTTGATTGTTTCAAACCCCGATAATAAAAACTATTACATCAGCCAATAGAAACAAGACGTACCAATCTGGTTCAATATTTGATTTCTTTGGACATTCAATTGAAAATTCCTGTCTCAAAAGCCTTGCAAAGAATGGACTTCAGGTAACTGACAAATCTGTGATCTACTCAATCATTAACAGTTATCCACCAAATGTAAAGGTATATATGGTATATATATGAACTACACTGAAACTGAAAAAATCAATTTTCTTCTGTCTGTATATATCACAAAATGGTCAGAAATTGAAGTTTTGAGGTACAATTTTGACTCTTCTCTGCTAATCACCTCCAACATAGCCAATCAGCATGCACAAAAAGCACCATTCACCTGTGTGCTTTATACTACATGAGAATATTTGGCAGAAAATTGGAGTTGACTCTCAACCCTTTTTTTTTCTTAAATTATGTTTATTGTCACTACAATTGACTTATATCCTGACTAGTGATGTAAGGAGAAGACGGATCTGAAACTTCACTTGAAGAGAACAGAAGTCACACCTGGACTCCCATGACAGGTGTAAAGACAAAACTTTTCCAGAAAATCAATGTAAAGAATTTTGAATTCAGAATGAATACGGACTTTCCACGAACTAAAAAAAAACCAAAGCAAATTAACATCATTGTTAGCTTTTGACACGGATCTGGCGATTAATTGCATTTCTGAGTGTTGACCATTAAGGAAACAGAATTTGAAGTCTGCCAGTCATGTGCGATGAAGCAAAACCCACAACAATTTCGTTTTCACCGAGAGTAATTCATGCCTTCGAATGAAGATTACTGAATACAACCGTAATCTTCTCTAAAATGCAGTTAATTATCTATAACTTGTAAATTTACATGCGAAATATGTTGCAGAAGTAATTACTCCCAACCCATTAGAACGTTGATTAGAGGTGTAACACTTCGGAAGGTAAAACAAACTTTGGTATTTCATGGCGACCAAATGCACATACTCGAGCTTCCACTTCCGATATTCAACAGAAAATTGATCGCTTACCTCCAAGAATTCTGTAAATTCGACAGTCCCGTTTTCGTTTATATCCACTTCTTTAATGATGTCTCGTATCTTGTAGCCGGGTATACTTTCGCCAAGAGCTTTCATCACTTCTCCAATTTCAGAAGTCGTGATATGGCCATTTTTATCTAAATCGAACTTTGATGAAGAAGACAGAAGTCGAAGTTAATATTGCTGTCACCGACACTAATCTCAGGCAAAGCTTCGAAAGTTACACACAATATTATGGTAGAAGAAATTTGCGGAACCAAAATTCGGCATTTACAGATCCCATTCTCGTGCAATTTTCTTCCATAAAGTATAATGTGCGATTTATTCAATAAAAAATTCGATTTTCAGGCAAATTATGAAGTAATGTCCAAGGGTTAACCAGCCATTGGTAAAAAATTACGGAGAACCAAGAACACGACTTGGACGTCGTAATAATGAGAGAATAAAGCTCACCTGGTCGAAAGACTCGCGAATCTCAGCAAGTTCTTCTGGAGAAAGATGAGGTTCTGTCATTGTGAAGTGGAGCACAGTTCAAGAATTTTAATTTGAAAAATGTAGAACAAGGAACAATTACGACTCTCAATCGGAAGAGGACGAAACTGATAGAGAGTGGGCCGTGCCGTGTTTTAGAGCACAGCACTCTTCCCTTTTGATAAGAAACACTGCTATTGGATGAAAATCAACATGATACTTATCCCCAACCAAATTTGGGCAACGAATTGTATCCCTGGAGGTGTTTTCCCGATTGTTTAAGCGTTTCCTGTTCCGTTGAATATTGCGCTTTACCAGAGAGGGGCATTAAATATTAACTTCGTACAAATTGCCTAAATTTGGACATGCTAAGAGTGTTCCTCTTCAACCATGGCACTATACAGATGCTCCTATTTTTTGGGCGATTTAAATGTAGGAACCCTTATCGTGTCGGAACATAAACATTCCTCTGTAGCCACGTGTGAAATCTTTCGCTTTTGCCTAGACATGTTTCCGAAAAAAAAAAAGCTTTTTCAGGTTCGCTCCCATATGAACTTGAAAAATGAAATATGTTTAACACTTCATATTGTCAACGCGAGTTTTGTCTTAGAGCACACAAATTGGAATAGAGATCTTATATTTTACGGAGGTCAACTGTCTTGTTTGTAGTGCCAACAGACAGCGCAACAGTAAAGTTCGCAAGCGATCTACTCGCCGGAAGACAGGTAATTTCCATAAGTATTGTTTATGTTCGAGTATTCTTGTCTTTATAAACCGAAAAAATGCGCGCTATTGTTATCTGATAACAGCAGTGAAAAGAAAATAAACATGGATCCAAGTTGCCTAAGTGACATTTGTTAAATCAACTCTCTTTAAAATTATGTAGATTTTATGCAACAAGATCATAATAAACCAGCTGGCTTAATTAGCCTCCTTTAAAAGTCCGAGTTCTAAAACGAACGCTTTTTTTTCTTGTTTTCTAAAAGATAAATTGAGGAAGACCTTACGGGGAAAAAAATTCAACTAAAGCCAAGCGCTAAGAATTGTTTAAAAATTCCCTTTTGGCATTTCATGGAGTTAAGCGGGTTAGGCAAAGGTGTTGATTTAAGATGCAGTAAAAATCCTCCCACTCACGTATTATTAACTAAACGATATGTTTTCCAAATCGAACTTTGTGGTGAATAACTGCAGCTAACCTTTGATCTTCCTTTTTTTATCGAGATTTACAGTTAATTCTTCCTAGCGAGCTTTATCTAATTGACAAGGAGGGTGCAGTTTTCCCCCAGATTGGTTCGAAAAGAATTGCTTATATAGTATTCCTTTTTATTCTCGATTCAAAACCTGCAAAATAGTGGTCAGCAGTCACATTGTTCAATCAAACAGCTGCTGAAAAGGAAGAAATTCCGAGACTGTTTGAGACCAGATTAAGTCTGATCCTGGCGTAAAAAGAAACATAAGTAATGTGATCGATGTCACGTCTCATCAGTTTTGTCCTGTTTAGACTACATATGGGATGTGCGGGATGGAGTCGCACATTCTCCTCACTTGAAATTCTTTGTTCTACAGTTCTTTCGACGTGGCCTGTTTGTTTGACGATTCATATACCGAGGTTCGTGTGCTCCTTTACAGGAACGAGTATTTGACTGCCGAAGACTTTTCTGGGCGGTATTCTGATATCTCTGTTCTTTCAGAGAGATACATTTGACGTTTTCATAAAAAAATGGTAAAAAAAAATTTGAAAATGGTAATAAAAGAGGAAAAGAGGAAAAAAGCCAAACAGGAGTTAATTAATTCCTATTCAATAAATTTTTTTTAATATATGCTTTTTTAAAAGAAAATGAGTGGAAATCAGTTTGAATAATACACACACACACACACACAGGATCATTTAATCCCAATCCAAAAGTGCAAATGGTCAAACCTTTTATCGAGTAACTTTCGACCAGGCCCTCTATTTGCGACGCAGGGACGCGCGTTTCTTTGCCCGCGGGATGATTTGAGAGGGGTGGGGATAGGTTTGCCGCGGTTTGGCCGCTCGTGTCGTGGCAAGATAATGTAAAAATGGCCACCGTAAAGAGTTTCTGAAGCTGACGTTTCGAGCGTTAGCCTTTTTTCTTTCGCCAAAGCATCACCACAGTTTCTTCAGAAGCTTACCCCCCCCCCCTCCGTTGCCTAACTAGTTTCTTGACTAGCTGACAACTTCTCTGCCCAAATGAAATAATTGTAATCAGTGAACTATGTGGTGTAATTTGCGAATGAAGCAATAAGGCGCGTCATGACATAACATGAACACACCTAGATCTTCCCCTCTTGTTCTCCATGGTCACGCTCCTCTAACACCCTACGGGCGGGAAAGGAGGGCAAGGAACTAGCGAAAAGATTAAGGAAGAGTTACATTTGGAAACGCGATTAAAATCATCCATTAAACTGAGCTCATGCTCCATATCAACAAACGCTTTTCATTCAATTGATTTTTTTCTTGTTTTTCTTGTCACCATTTTCCCATAAATAGCGTAACTCCATTTTCTGCATATAAACACACATACAACCCACAATTCCCTGAAAAAAAAATCAAAAAATTTCCAGTTTGGGGAGTTGAAAAATTTTTTCTGGTATTTTGATTGTTCTATCGATGTACAGCTTTCGGAGGTTGACGAGCTCGTTCAGACTCATGGGAAGCTCCATCAAAGGGTTTCCTTCTAGATGAAGAACCTCTAGATGGACTAGATTCCTGAAACTATCCGGAAGTCTTTTAAGTTGATTGTTGGATAATTCCAGTTGTTCTAAGGTCGTCATTTCCCCGATACTACTCCGTACAAAATCTGGCAGCTCTGTGATCTCGTTTTGAGAAAAATCAAGCGAAATGAGGCTGGGTAACTTGCAAAGCACCTCAGGAAAAATTGTGATGCCGTTACAATTTAGAAATAAAACTGTGAGGTTCTCCAAGCGATGAAACCAATATGGTAAGCATTTGATGCTGTTCTTACCCAGGTTCAACTCCTCCAAGTTTCGAAGATTAGTGATATTATCTGGAACTGACTTCAAGGAGTTGCCATTGAGATTTAATTTTTGTAACTCTACTAAACTCAAGACTGGGTAAGGGATCATGTTCAGCTCATTGTTGTCCAGAAACAGTACTCGCAGACATTCCATTTCGGCAATTGAGTAAGGAATGGTATCAATCACGTTACGTCCCAGAAATAATTCTCTTAGACGTTTAAGCCGTTTGATCTTCTCCGGCAATTCTTTAATCTTGTTTCCCGCGAGTGAAAGATTTTCCAGATTTTCCAGGTAAAAGATTTCCCCCGGAAAGAATGACATTCCGTTATTTTCTACGGAAAGACATGTGAGCTGCTGGAAGTTTTCAAGCCAGTCAGGAAACGCACGAAGATAATTTCCGTTTAAATACAAGCGCCTGAGATTGGAAAGGAATCGCAGGTTTTCCGGAAGCGAAACGAGTTTGTTGCAGTTAAGACTTATCATGCGGCATCTGGAAAGGTTTCCTATGGAGAGAGGTAACTCTTCAATTTGGTTGAAATCAAGAATGAGTGAGTTTAGATTTACGAGCTCGCACACTGTTGGGGATACAAACTTAAGCTCTTGCCAACTAAGGTCGAGTGTAATTCGTCCGCCAATTCTTTTCACTTCGGGGAAAAGTCGAGTGACGCTCAAAGGATGTCCGAAGTCATCCATTACATCTTCAAAACTGGAACTTAGTGACACTCCAGGCTGCGAAACCGCAGATTCAAAATCAGAATCGACTCGCCAGCCTCTCCAAGTGTAACGAGACCCTTGTTTCGCAATCTTGGGTGGCTTTTCCTGCTTTTGGCGCTTCGGCAGCTTCACGTTAACATTTGGCAAAAATCCTGCTTTCTTCATTTCACGGTACAAAATGCGCCACTTTGGGGAAGGACGGATTGCTTCACGAATATTTTCTTTAGTTGCCCGAGCTTTTCGCCTTGCTGTCTCCGCAGCACTCGGTTTGGCGTCTTCAGATTTCAAATTGAAAAAAGCATGACCTCCTTCAAAGATGTCTCTTTTCTCCTCGGGATGATTAAGATTTATTTCCGAAAAGACCATGGAGCGATCTTCGGCAACTACACTGCGGTTAAACTTTTCGAGTTCTTCAAGTGGTTCTCCTGCCGCCGGATTGGGATCAACATCATTTAGTTTCCGCTTACTGACTTGTTTCGTGCGGGGCTCATGGTGCTTACATAATGTCAATGCTTTAGCATTGTTGCTTACATTCAGGCTGTCAAGTTCGGAAAGAAACCGATGTAACGCTTCCGGAAGCTCGGTCAGTTTGTTATCATCCAGGTAAAGCTCTTTGAGGTGAACTAGTTGATATAAACTGTGAGGAAGATGTTCAATTTCATTATCGCTTAAAACCAGAACCTCCATGCTGGTTAGCGAAAACACAGCTTCGGGAATGCTTTGAAGGCTATTACCTTCCATGTTTAAATAATGCAGTTGTGTTAAATAGCGGATGCTTGGAGGAAGATCCCTGATGTTGTTGAAGGCGAGATTTAGTTTCCGAAGGTGGCATAAATGGCTGATGCAATAGGGCAGAGTTTCGATAAGATTGCGATTCAGTTCCAAGACTTCTAACTTAACTGAGGTACATATTTGCGCTGGAAGAAATTCCAGATAATTATTATTAAGATGAAGCTCTTTGAGATTGCGAAGGGTTGCGAATTTATAAGGAAAAGTAGATATCTTGTTGCAGTTCAGATTTAGAACCTCAATAGTTCCTCTTTCGCAAACCTTCTCCGGCAGCGATTTTAACTTCAAAAAGCTCAAGTCTAGAGTTAGTTTACCATTCTCTACCACGACATCGGGCAAATTTATAGGTGATATGTCGTTGAAGTCATCTGGCCATGACATGTCTATTTGCGAAGTCCTTAAGTCGGGTCTTGTTTCACTTGCGTTTTCATCTTTCCTTAAACAGTTTCCCATTTATCGTAACGTACCACAAAATGGGATTAGGATCTTGGACCATTGTCTTCACGGGAGCACTATAAATGCCAGGTATGGTGTGTTTGCAAAGAAATTCTCACTTATTGAAAAAAGAACACGAATTCGTTCGTGTCATTCTCGCAATGCGCAAATGACTCGACAATTTTGTATGCCGCTTCTTACAGGAAATGCTAAT